GGCCAGGCAGAAAAGCTGCACTCGTGTTCCCCTTACAAGCTGGACAGGAGAACAGCTGGGAGAGAAGGGCCTGAACCCCGAGCCTGCCCTCTGGGCCTGTCAGGCGCCCCTGAGCCTGCATACTGGCTGCCCCACAGTGCTGTTAACTGGGGCTCAGACAGGGTGCCGGAGAGCGGGGGTGGGCGGGCTCCGTAAATCACGCAGCCTGGGGGAGCTCTGGACCTAAGCCGGAGCTGGCTGCACCTCACACCACAGCTCAGAGTCTAGCTGGGACCCTGACCCATGGGGCAGCGTTTCAGCCCAGCACATAGGCCCAGGTGAGGGGGGTGGGCAGGGCTGAAACTGAACTGGTGTCTCCCTAGGATCAAGACAAGGGTCACTAAGCCTGAAGAGTGAGCTGCCAACCCCTGTATGCGCAGAGTGACCCCTCCCCTGCCTGCAGGCTGGGGTGAGTCCTTGGCCAGGACTCTGCTCTGATCTCTATTTTTGTGCTTAATCTCTGGGTCTCTGTCATTAACTTTTCTTCTAGATCTAAGAGTTGATATACACAAAAATCTAAAGAACTGGAGTATATTTCAAAATGGACCCTGAAAAGGGATTTTCTTCATCCTGGAGCCCAAACACTACTTCCTGGGGGTGGTCGCTGTTAGGAGGGTATTGCCAAAACCGAGTGGCCTGGCGCCCAGCCACCACCTGGTCCCTGTGACCTAGGACTGCTCTCCCAGCACTTAGCCTTGGTGTCCTGACTGGTAATTGGTGATAAAGGGAGGGGCTGTGAGGAATAGCAGATTGAATGAAATCTTGGACTCAGGTCAGCAGTGGCTAAACCATCCCAGCTCTTTGGTGGTCAGTGGCGCCCCCTGCTGGTAAGCGAGAAGACTGACCAAGTGGCCGCAAGAGTTGTCCCCGCCCCCAGCCCCTCCCAGGCCAGTGGGACTGACTGAGAGGATGATATTAAAGGCTTGGAGAGTCTTCCCAGGGCCCCACACTCAGTGGACACACAGGACTGTTAAGAGCCATGCTCCCAAGGCAGGAGAGTAGGTACTGGGCCTGAGGAGATGAGCAAACTTTTCCAACCTGATGCTCGAGGCCCCAGGGCAGCGGCCCAGAACCCAGGCCACTGCAGCATGTCCACTCAAGGGACAAGTTCCAGTGGTGACCAGCAGGATGTGGCTGGGGAAGCCTTGATGTTTGAGCCCTCATTGCTCAGGGTTGGGTAAGAAGGGGGCGAGGAGGCTTCTGGGACGGGCCTTGGTGATGGCAAAGCCCTTGCCTTGGTCTGGCATGAGGGCTGAGACACTCAAGGACAGAGCTCAGTTCCTGGCCTCCCAGTGGGCCTGTGTGGAAATGTGCCAGTGTCTCCTTAAGTTCTCTGTTTACCTCTCGGAAAAAGAGGGAGCTGGATTACATGGGGCTTGTGACCCCTCCGCCTCTGGCATAGGTCGTAAACTATACCCATTCTGGGGACTGCCAAAGTGCCTGCCGTGACTGAAGAAGGCCCACAGTGCCAGTGAGGATGCCTGTTGCCAGAGGAAAAACACAGACGCTCAGCTTAGAGAGATAGAGATCTATTTCTTCTGTTGCATATTTCAGACTTGACACTGAGCTTCAGGCACACCGCCACCCCAGGTCCTCCTGAGAGCCCTGACGGAGGTTCTCCCCATGCTGCTCACACGGGCTTGTCCCTCCAGGGCAGGAGCCCAGGCCCTGGTTGCAGTTCTGGGCCCCTGGGAGACTGCTTTGGTCTCAGGAGGCCCTGGTGCCCTGCTCTCCATCACGGGGCAGCAGATGCTGGAAAGCCCAGGAGCCAGCACCACCCCTCTTCTCCGGTCCCCTGGCTACAAGGGGAGAGCTGCCCCCGAGAGTCCAGCTCCACAGTGCTCCCCGGAATCGTCTGTTCCCCGAGCCTCAGGGCCTGGCATGGTGCTGGCAGCCCTACAGAGCCTCGGCCGTGACCACCACGGGCCCAGGCTGGGGACGGGCCCTGGAGAGCCAGCCCAGCCTCCTCCAGAGCAACGGCAGATGGGCTCATCAGGGCCCAGCTCCCCAGAGCCATGGCCCACTTCCTGGGGCTGCTCTCAGCCCTATTGCACATCTTTTCGTTCAGTTCCTGCCCCCACCACCCATTTTCCTCTCTGTAAAAACGAACGAGAGGGGAAGGTGAGGGAGAGCGGAAGAGCAGGGTGTGGAATGTCGGAGCCCTTCTCCCAGCCTTCCTGCCCACCCTCTGGCCCCCCCGCAGGCCATCAGCAGTAGTGAATTCACCGCCCCTTCCCTGCCAGCTGAGCGCTCGAGGGCCGACTCTGTTTGGGTGCCCTCTGGTACTTGCTTGGGGCAGGGGCTGCCCCTCTGTCCTCGTCTATAAGGTGCGAGTCCCCATCTTCTGGAGGTGCTGGCTGGGCCCTGCTACCTGAGTCGCCCATCCGCTTTGACAGGTCCCAGCTCAGATTTGGGGTCAGGAAACAGAGAGCTCCAGCTGGTCAGTCTGCAGAGCTCCAGGGAGGGGCAGGCGGAGGGGCCCGTGGCGCACAGTCCGGCCACAGACCAGAAGCCGCTCAGCTCCCTATCTGTCCAGGCCTCAAGTGCTGGACCTGTGAGCTCCGCGTGCCGCCGGGCGGCCTCCTCCACAGGCTCTGGCTGAGGCAGGTTCAGGATGCCGCTCAGGCCCTGGAAACTCTGCTCCATGTACTCGTTGTGGGGTGGTCCGGCATGCATCCAGCTGGCATCATCTGGGGGTGCAGAGCAGAGGGTAAACACGCCTCGCCCTACCAAGTCCAAGGAGATCAGACCCCGCAGCCAGGTCTGGGCACCCCAGGACCTGTCTCAACTCTGCCTCTGAGTCGCATCTTGCTGAGTGGCTTTTGGCTCACCCACAGGAGTTTCTGTGTCCATAAAACGGTTTTATAAAATCAACACAGCAATCCCCGAATTCCTGACTTGAGGAATTCAGTTAAAGAACAGGGGCAGGGCCTCCCTGGTGGTGCAGCAGGTTAGAGCACAGCACTGAGAAGCTAAAGCCACTGCAGCAGGAGCTCGGCCCCAGAGGTGACCCACATGGCCTGGCAGACCTCTCCTGACCCGCCCGCTGCTCCCCTCAGCAGTGTGCTTCGTGGATCTGCCTGTTCTGCTCCCCACTCTGTCTCTAGTGAAGCCTCTCACCTCCCCCGCCCCCTCAGTTCTGTATGCAGAAGCAAATAAATCTTTAAAAAAAAAAAAAAGAGCGGCCCTCCCTGGTGGCGCAGTGGGTTAAAGCACAACACTAAGAAGCTAAAGCCACTTTTGCATGAGTTCGATTCCCGCCTGCCCCGGAGGTGACCACATGGCGTGGCAGACCTCTCCTGACCCGCCCGCTGCTCCCCTCAGCAGTGTACTTCATGATCTGCCTGTTCTGCTTCCCACTCTGTCTCTGGTGAATCCTCTCGCCGGCCCTGCACCTCTGGCCTGTACCCCAGTTCTGTACCCCAGTTCTGTATGAATAAATAAATAAATCTTAAAAAAAAAAAAAAAAAAGAGCGGCCAAGGCACACCAGGGGCCGCTTCCTGGCCACGGCCTGTTTGGTCTCCTGTGACCCTCTCCCACTCCTAGCAGCCAGCCCCTTCCGTTGCAGGCCTGCTGGCCGTGCCAGCCTCCTCCTCACCTCCCTGCCTCTACTGCCCTCCCCCGGAGCGCCCATCATGCACCTGAGCCCGCCAGCTAGGTGCCCTCCGCCCTCCGCACGCTGCCTGCTCCTTAGGTCTGAGCGCCACGGCGCCTGCACGCATGCTTGCCTCTGCCCCCCTCCGGCCCCTCTGCGAGGCCGGCTTTTAGGAGAGTGGGGTGCAGTGGCCTACCCTGGGTCTGCCACAGCCCCGCCCTAGGCCTCCTCTGGGTCACCCTGCTCTGCCCACCCTCTGTGTGATAGGACGCGGCCAGAGGAAGGAAGTGTCAGTTGAGCGCCTACGGGCACCAGGCACCCAGATCACACCTCATGTCCCCTGGGAGCGGTTAGTAGCACCGGTCCCTTGGCGGGCGCTGCGGCTGCACCTGGGTTTGGCCTGCTCCCCTCGTCTCAGCTAAGGGGTGGGAGGCCACGGAAACCTGTCCACCTGGCCATACCATGGACTGGGATGGCCAGATCTGCTGTCAAGAATGTGGAACTAGGGGGCTAAGAAGCGCCGGTCAGCCTTGTTGCACCCAGAGGCTTTGTGTCACGTACGGAGAAGGCAAAGCCTGAGGCTGACATGCAGAGAGGGCAGGAGGAGGAATGCGAGGGCCCCGGAGAGAGCCGGGACGTCTTGGACTCTGGGGGACGGACGCCCTGCAGCCTGCCAATCACATCACCGTTTTCACTCGAGCCAGAGTGGGTTCGTGGCCCCGCGACCAGGCCTGCAAACCACATTGCTCCTACTTGACGTGGCATCAGACTGTGGCTTGGGAAGCAATTCGCCCAGGCGCAAAGTCAATCCGGGTGTCAGAGCAGTGCTCGGAAGCCAAGGCTGTGTGATGACACTACAGCACAGCCCCGTGCTGAGGGCGCGACGGCGCCATCCCGCCGCCTCCCCCAACTTTAGGGACGGGGCCACCTGTCTGATCAGTCCATCAGCCCGTACCAGATCCTTACCTTTCCTGAGAGGTAGTTTGCGGTTGAAGGTCAAGGGCAGCACGAGGAAGCGGGTCTCCCCCAGGGGTTCCCAGAACTGAAGCAGCCGGACAGTCCAGGCCCCGGGCCGCAGCGGCCGGCTCAGTGGGGGCTTGTACTGCGTGACCTCTGTCTCTGCGTCTACTGCAACGTCATAAGACGTGGCCACCACGTAGGTGGGGTCGATCCACACCACGGTGGCTGTGAGGTTGGGCCCCCGGGCCCAGCGCTGCATGGCAACGGGCTCATCCAATGGCCCCAGCAACCCCCCAAAGTTCCGGAAAAGGCGCTCTTTGGGGTCCCACTCGGTGCCAACCTGTAAGGAGAATGGCAGCTGGGCAGAAGCCTGGGGCGTGAGTCCTCCTCTCTACTCTGCTGCTGCCTCTAGCTCGCCGGTGGCCTCCGGCCAGTCACTGTCTCTTTCTGGGCCCCAGATGGATATTTGGGGATCTTTGGTATTCCCCCAGCTCTTAGCTGTGCTCTAGGCTACTGTTCTGAGCTGCTTGGAGTGGGGACAGTAAGGGAGAGGTGAGGTTCAACCCTGCCCAGAGACCATCCCCCACCAAGCCAAGCCTTGGAGAAAGAGGTGGGCTGTTCAGACCCCTGTGAAGAGAAAGCCCTGTAGTTTCAGACTGCGCTTGTGCTGTCGTGAAACTGCAGTCCCCTCCCTGCAGAATGCTCATCCTTTCTGCCCCCCAAGTGGGAGGTGCTCCCCAACGTGCGCATGCAGGGGTGACACAGGCAAGTCCGAAGGGCATTGCCTGGGTTGCCAACGCCAGAAAAGAAGAGTCCGAGGACCCAGCCCTCACCCTCCCTTGGTGTCTGTCCCTCTCCCCACTACCCTGAGGCTTGCCGGGGGTCAGTTGTCCCACCTCCAGACTCTGGAGCCTGCTGGCCTGGTCACTGTGCCCCAACAGCTTCAGCGACCCCTGGGGCATCAGCCACATCTCAAGCGTCTCTGCCGGCCCCTGGGCTGAGGGCTGCACTGCCTGTGTCACCAGGTAGCCCTGGAAATGGTCGTCATAGAAATACAGGTGCACGCTGGACGGCAAGCCCCTGGGCTCAAACCTAAGAAGGTTCCAGCAGGGAGAGAGGGAGATGCCATCAGCACACCTGACGTGGCCTGGAGTCCTGGGAGGGGTCTGGGGAGTCCCGTCCCCAGGCGTCCTTCACTCCCGTCCTTCACACCCACAGCACCTAGGTGCCTGGCTTTCGCCGTGTTTTGTTTGCATTTTTCTCCGCCTGACTGGGGGTCCCTTGAGGACAGAGGGCTCTCTCTCTCCCTGACTGGCTCCCCCGAGGGCCCACACCCTGAGGGGCTGCAGTGTCAGAAGGCCTCACCTGCAGAGCGAGCCGGCCAGCGGGGGCCCAGCCGTGGCCGCGTGGCGCAGGCCCAGGCGGGCGAAGGCGGTGTAAGCCGTGAGCGTGACGTCGCTGAGCCCGCCGGGGTCATCGGCCGCCTCGTAGATGTTCTCCCAGTAGGCCTTGAGGGCTGGCGTGCCGGGCGGGTAGCTGCCGTACAGGTGGAAGTCCAGGATCTCTAGTACCTCCTGGTTCACCGTCGACTCGAACTTCCGGGCAAAGAAGGTGGGTCTGGACACTTGCTGGAGTGGGAGAGGCCGGAGGGTGAAGGCCTGGAAGTTCCAGAGGGCAGGCCCGGGGCGGCCTCCAGGACAGGGGAACCAGTGAAAGCACCCCAGACGCTCTGGGCCATCCGGAATCCTCCCCTTCCTCCCGCCTGCTCCCGGCTGTGATCGGCACAGCGCAAGTCGAGGTGTGTGGTGGTGGTGGGGGGGGGATACACTTGTGTCACCGCTACGGCACCACCCAGCACCCCGCCATAGCCCGTCACTGCCATTTCTCTGGGGTGAGAACATCTCAGAGCTACTCTCTGCCTGCATCCCTTTCCGTCCTGGAGCGCTGGGGTGAGGCAGCGGCAGGGGCAGACCTCAGGGGTCCCGGGGGCCCCAGGGGCGCACCTGCAGCCGTAGGAAGTCCTGCGGCTTGAAGTCGTTGGGGGAGCAGCCGCACCAGTCCACGATGTGCTTGTACTGGCACTTGCAGCCCAGCTTGCGGTTCCAGTTGGTGACCCGCAGGTTGTTGTCCACGAGGCTCTCGCAGGCCGGGCTGTTCTCCAGCACCGTGTGGAAGAAGGACTGCGAGGGGGCGGGGCGGGGGGAGGCTGAGCACGGGCAGCACCCCTCCCCGGGCCCCTACGCCCCCTGGCCTGGGCGGGGCGGGGGTGCCCACCTCGGCGGGCAGCAGCGTGTACGAGTAGAACTGGCGGAGCTGGGCCACCAGCGGGTCGTCCGTGTACACCACGTACTCCACGAAGCTGCGCGTCAGCACAAACCAGTCGGAGCCGCCGTCCACCACGATGCCCGCCGGGATCTGCCGCTCGCCCAGGCGCCACATGTGTGAGTCGCATTCATGGAAGAGGCGGTCCAGGCCCTGCTTCTTGATGAACCTGTGAATGGCAGAGGCACGAGGCTGAGGGCCCACAGGATGGGGGCCAGGCTCTCCCACCCGCCAGGAGCCAGCATGCCATGGAGGCTTTGAGCCGGCTGAGCGCCCCCCCGGGGCAGGGCTTCCGCAGGGGCTTGGAGCCCCCCCGGGCCCCCCCCCCCCCCCGAGAGAGGGGTGATCATGACACCCCCGCCAGGACGTGCTCCCCCGACCCACCCACCTGGAGTTGTCCCGTCCATGGGACTTGAGGAAATTCTTGTCCCGGTTCTTAGATAGGAAAGCCACCAGCTCGTCGTTGGTCCTGGAGGAAGAGTGCGGGGGTCTCGTCTCCGACCCAGGGCAGGCACCCTCCAGCTTCACCGAGAGCTGTCTGGCCATGTCCTATCTCTGGCTGAAGGCCTGAGGTGGCTGGTGCCTGCGGCGCCAAGGAAGACCACTCACCCGCCCCCACCTTGCTGCCTGCCTGAGCACCGCGCGTGTGGGCTGCCCCCTCCCCGTCTCTTGTCGCTCTCCATCTCCATCCAGGTCATCTTCTACCCACCACGCCTCTAAAACATGTCTGGGGTATGGGGGTCCCAGCCTGGAGTCAAGGAGGGAGTCCTTCAGAGCCCTTCCGCCTCAAGTGCGCAGAGGGGCCCCCCACCCGTCCGGGGGAGTTCAGGCACCACCCCACACCTGGTTGGGTAGTCGGTGGCACTGAGGTTGATGAAGAAGTCCCAGGCCCAGCCAGGCACCTCCAGCAGGTCCTGCATGCTCCGCAGGTACATCCTCAGCAGGCTGGCCCCACCCCAGATGGTGACCATGCGCCAGGGAGTCACCCGCACGTTGTCGTAGCGGCGGGCCAGCTCCACCACCTCCCGGTGCAGGTAGTTGGAGCGCTGGGGGTGAGCGAGAGGGGGCTCAGCAGCCGCGGCCGATGACAGGGCGACAGCCCCCACCCCAAGCTCAGGGCAGAATACCGTGACATGGCATAGAGGCGGCACAGGCCGGGCTCCTGCCCGAACCAGCCAGGTCGCCTGTCCCAGCTGCCCTCCGCCTAGGCCTGCTTCCCTGTCCCTGGCCACGCAAGCAGGCCAGAGAGGCTGTGAGACCGTGTGCGTCTCTGCTCTGCTGGCCCGGGCCCCGGGGCCTCCTCCCAACAGCACCTTGTCCACGTGGATGTAGAAGAAGTGCTGCTTGTGGAAGACCGCCTTGAGCAGACGCCTCAGCTGGCGAATGGCCCGGCCGTGCACCACCAGCATATAGGCGATGCGAACTGGGGGGCCATCCACGGGCCGATGGGCCTGGCTCTCGTCCCACTGGATGCCAGGGCTCATCTTCCCTGAGAGAGAGAATAGAGCACGGAGGACGATGAGATGGGAGGCGTCTGCTCCGGGAGCAGCCAAGAGCCTGCTGCTGCTGGGTCCCAGTTCTGCAGCTGCTACTCAGAGCGCCTGACCAGGAAGATGGGCTTCCTGAGGGCTTTCTTGAGAAATGAGGTGAGGCCACATGCCACGCCCCCCCCAGGGCTGTCCCCTCTCGGCCTGTGCCTGTTCCTTACCAGGCAGCTGGCAGTGCCGGGGCACGGTCTTGGGCATGAGGTTCCCGGCCTGGTGCAGGCACACCACGTTGGCGATCTCCTGCTGGCACTGCTTGGAGCTGGCCCGGGCCAGCGCAGACAGCGCATCCTTGCCCACAATCTCACACTTGGGGGTGAAGCCATTGTCCGTGGGTTGCGGGGCGCCCTCCACACTCCCTGTGTCTCCATGGGGCGGGAAGCCAGCTGCGCCCACCAGCGCCTCCCCGGCTGCAGCCCCACTTAAGTTCTGGCGGCCTGGGGCCTCCGGGGGAGGGGCGGGGGGCACCCGCCGGCTGGCCCTGTGCCGGCTGGTGACTGCCCGGACCACCTTGGCCACGGGCACGCCTGGGTTCTCGGCGCGGCCCCGCCAGCGTCCGTGCCGCCTGCCCGCGCTGCCACGCCGCCCGGCAGAGCTGTCTGTGTCCTTGGAGCCCTCGCCGGGGTCCAGCGGCCGTGGCTTCCTCTGCCTTCCTTTCTGTCAAAAACAGGTAGACGGTGGTCACTGTACGGTCACTCTCCTGCTCCTTCACTTCTCTGCTGGCCAGAGGCACCTCAGGCCTCGAAGCCCCAACAGCCTCTACCTGGAGACGCACAGCTCACTGACCGAGGATTCTATGCAAATAGCACTGTTGTGGGGGGCTGCTCAGCCAGCAAGGAAGGGCACCCCTCATGGCATATGGCGCCCGGGCCCCACCAGCACACAGGTACTGTCTCTTTGGTGCTTTCCACTCAAATACCACTTTCTTTACCAGCAGACATGAAAATGAAGGTCCACATATATCCCAAGAGCTGGGGTGGAGACCCTGTGGAGGACACAGTGTGTCCACCTAGCACCCACCCCAGCTGGGGAGAAGGACAGCGTTCCGAGGACAGCATTTCCACACGGGCTTTAAAGGCCAGTGGGAAGGACAGAGGTAAAACCTGGGCCTCAGTCTGGTTGGGTTCTCTGGGGAGCAGAGTCAGAGTGTGGGCATTCACTGGGGACAACACTGGGGAGCAGAGCGGAGTCAGCACAGCCTTCAGACGCCAAGCCAGCCTGACCCCTGGACAAGGAGCAGGGAAGGAGGCACTTCAGGCCACCGTACAGCTCAGAGCGACTTGGCCACTAACAGGAAACCTGCGTACAAAGATGGCCGGTAGACATGAGCCCTGGGTAGACGCGAACCCTGGGTAGACGCGAACCCTGGGTAGACAGTGCCCTGGGGAGACAGCGCCCTGGGAGACAGCGCCCTGGG